TTAGTTTTATTGCTTTGGAAAATAGAGGAAAAAATTCAATTGAGAAGATAGTGAATTTAAAATGGGGAATTTTTTCTTTCATTCTAATTATCACAAATTAAGAATGTGAGGTATTTTTTCAAATACCAAGAAAAAAGGTGCCAAAATGGAGAAAAATAAAGACCTATTAGAAGGTAGTGGGGGATATTGATTCCACCAATCTTCCCTTCCCGTGCGGATGAAGCCCACAAAAAGAAGCTATGTAGACATTTAAGAAAACCAACAAAATTGAGTTGCAAGTAATGAGTAGTCATGGCTTGTGGGGGTTGAGATTAATTTGGTGTCTTTTACACATCATGGTGTTATTGTCCCATCTTAATGGGGGAGTCACTACCACATCAAATGGCCCTTCATTGCTCAATCTTCCTCTCTCATTTAAAAAAAAAAAATCAATTTTGTACATACACACCTTGTCTTAGCTATTTCGAGAGTTCCACTTTTACTACATAATTTCCCCTCCCATATTTTTATTTTTGATGTTGAACTATCGTAAAGGTTTAAACAATTAATTTTGAGATTTATAATTTCAAATAATTATTAACTAAGATAAATTAAGTATGGTGAGTATATATTTTGCATATGTATTAATTGTTTAGCAGCACAAGAAGCTATAGGTATATATTTGTAAAACCATATGATTCATTAATCTAGCTACATGTAAAAGCCATACCCCTTTTCCATTCCATTTAATTATATTATCTACTTAATTAGAAGGAGACAACTTAGAGATAATAAAAGAGTGCCACATTACAAACTGGTGGAATCCTCTCTCATAGATTTATTCATCTTCCCTTGTCATGATGCAAGTAATTAAAAATGGTGGATAGCCTCAATGATTTAACTCAAAGCCCACTCAAATATTAAAACAAAAAAAAGGACTAATTAATTTGTAAACAAAAATAGACTTAGGTATGTTTGGTGGAGTTTCTTGAAGCTTTTACAATTTTAGTACTGTTTATGAATCATAAGTTTAAATTTTTATTGGAAGAAAAATTTAAAAATTGCTTTCAAAAGTAATAAAAAGTGAGTAAAAAATGTTTATTAAAAGTTTAAATTTGAAACTTTTCAAATTTTATCATTTAAAATCTTCTTAAAGTTAAAAAAATTAAAAGATATAAGTTTTTAAGAGAAAAAATTAAATTTATAAAATATGAATAGTATAAAAAAATCGAAACATTTATAAGCTAAACATGCTTTTAATATATTGGGTTAAAGTTGATGAACAAAAAATGATTAAACATAATAGAAAGACGAGAATTTGAACTTGAGATATTTCAAAATTCTAAATTAATGTGCTTGTTCTCAATGAGAAAGGGGCAAAGGGAAAATGGCACACGCTGTAGAGCAGTGTGGCAAGGGCCAAGGGGACCGGGATGATGCCAAAAGAGTGCATGATATATAGGGCTGGCGAGCACACACCTAGGAAACCTCATTGCCAAATCTTCTCTAACAAGGTGCCCTATAAGTCCAGAACACCTTGGTCCCACCCATATGTGAAAAGAGCAAGGGGCACCCTACACCCACCCCAACCGCCAGGGGGTGGAGCTCTCTCAGTCTCACCGAGTCACCAGTCTCCACCACTTTTGTCTCATTCATATTGTCTCTGTATCCGTTCCGTGGAACCCCTTTTGGAATCACACACACCCCATCACGTATGCTTCCCATTTAGTATGTCAGAAAAACAAAGCGCTTATTGTCTCAGTCTCTCCTTCTCTCCTTCCCATTCCCACATGAGAGTGAGTTAACTTGTCGCAAACGACTCTGCACAGATATTTTGATGGTTAAAACTTGAGATTTTTAAATTAAAATTTTAATTAAGTTTAAATATTGTACAAATAAATTAAGAATATGAAATAAAAATTATTATTTTTTTATTATATAACTTATCATAATTAGATCTATCAAATTTAAACTTAATAATGGAATTAAGTATCATACTAGAGGCGCTATTCCATCTCAAGAATGACCACTTTCTTGGGGGATTGCATAATTTTTTACCTCAAAGATCCAGCTAAATACAACATAGATCCATCTGTGCTAATGCATGCGCATGTCTCTTAATTAATACTAATTAATTAGCTAAGTAGGATTTGTTTTCATTCTCTTTGGTACCACACAAGAAAAGCATGATTATTTTGTTATTATTATTGTTGTTGTTATTGTTGAAATTAACCATTGCAAGGTTATGAGATAGAGAAATGTTCGATGGTGGGACGTGAGTTAATTAACAAGCAATCCTCCAGTATCACCACAACTATGGGAGCCCAATAATAATACTCTTAGACAATTTGTAGACACGTAAGAATACCCTTGTATTTCACCTGATAAAGCTGTTGTTTTAAAAAAAAAAATCTATAGAAGCTCAATTAACCATTGGGTTACAACCTGGTAGTAGTATCCACGAGTGGGTGGATGAGTTGGTTAGAACTCTTTTAACTTAATTAGAAGTTTTGATTTTAAGTTCTGAAAATGTAATTCCGTTAAAACTTGTAAATGAGAGTTTTGTCACCCATTAGATTCTACTAAACTTGAATCTAGATTAATTGGTGGTCTAGTGAACTTTCGAATATCGGATGACCAATATAAAAAACAAAAAAAAAAACAACTTGGTAGTGGTTTATTATTATGATATCAACTAATTAATTACCAGAACTTGCCTCTGAAATACTGCTACATAAGTCATAAAAACATGTTTCTCTGCTGGTTAACCTTAAAAAAGTTAGTAAATAATTAAGCATAAAATCCAACGTAGCTTGTCAGAAACTGTCTAGGATTCAAAACAATGATAAAAAACTGACAATTAACAGCAACTTGCATCAAAAAGCTAATGTGCCACAGTTTAGTTTTCCAGGTCACGATGAAATAAATATGTCAGATTGTATATATATATCGATCAGGGGTGAAACTAGGAAAACAAGGAGAGCAGGGCTTAATTTTTTCTTACACCTGAATTTTAGCCCTTTTATTTTTTCTTTACTGGAGGGATTAAAAAAATAAGTCCTTCGTCATTTTTTTTTTCCTACAACTCTAGTTTTATGGTCTTTTAGTTTTAACATTATGAAACTTGGGGTAGAACTAATACCCAACCCCCTTAATTATAATATAGTTTTGCCCCTAATATAACCAATCCGCGAGTAATATTATAGACTATGGACCACGATCACGTTTCATTTCTTTTAACCCTAATTTTGTGTAAGTATATGAACCTTGTAACTTTTTTTTTTTATGGTATTTACGGCTAGGATTTTCTAAGTTAGTTGTTGCTCACCTCGAGATTAATCTTTCTTTGAACAATTTTAGAGATGGACCCCTACATCAGTTTTATATGTTTAAAAAAGTTAATTTTTTTTAAATGCTAGTTTTAAATTTTGAATCTTTAACTTGACTCACAAACTTTATAATTATTGGTTTAGTATATTCAAAAAAATTAATTTTTTTTTAAATATTGACCCCTAAACTTGAATCGTGAATCTCACCTACAAAATCCATAGCAGTAGGTGTGGACTAGGTGCAGACTAGTCCATCCCTACGCTGCTGATGCACACGGCCATTATTGAATTATCAGAGATAAATCTTTTTGTTATGATTAATTAAATTATCTAATCAATCAACATTACATGTGTATTTCATTTTATTAGGTTGAAGTTCGTTATAGATTACATTCAATCTAGCTAATAATGTAACCTAGCTAGGGCCACAGTCTTTCCACTATATATACACCTTTGTCTCGTTGGCATTACATGTTGAATATGTCGTCCTGAGTGAAGAATTAAGAATTAATAATAATACCTCGGCTATCACCGTGTGTGTGTATATATATATATATATGATTCATGAGACTAGCAGACAGGCCGGTGAGCTAACTCTGTAGCTCCCTTTTTAACAAGTTGCTTAATTTTGTTAATAATTAAAACATTACAGATGTGTTATTGTCACATCTGACGTGTAAGAACTGCAAACAAGAATCTACTGTCTCCAATTTGTTTTGAGAGGGAAGTTTAATGTGCCCCCTCCCCCCTTTTTGGCTTGAAAAAGGGTTAATTTTGCCTAAATGCATTGCTCTACTGTACACCCACTTCTTTTAATTTTTTTTTCTATGCTCTAAACATGGCTTTTCTTTTCATTTCTTTATTTTACACCCTCTCACTTTCGGTTCTTGACCTTACTATAAACCAAACCTTCTCTTTTCTCGATGTTCCCAATTTTATTTTATCTCCATAAAAACATAGGTTAATTTGTATCTAAAAAAGTTATTTTAATATGTTATTACATATAAGATTAGAATTGTTGGATGAAAGGATAGTTTTAATATAAAAAAAAATTTGTTTTATTTAATAATTTAAGTTATAAAATTTAAAACAGTTCAAACTGTATAATATTTTTTTAATATATGATTAATTGAGAATAAGGTGTTTCTTTTAAATCACATTCTTCCTTCTCACAACGAATTAGCTACTTAGATTAGGTATGGAATATGGATAGACTAAAAGGCAGAAATGCCAAACTAGTTTTGTAAGTGAAATGTGATTGGAAAGAGAACCAAATAAGGAGACAATGGTGAGAATCGTGGGTCATCCTCGCATGTGCATGTGCCCTGTCTCATTCTTACACTCATGACCCTACTCCCACTCTCTCTCCAATGCATGTAAAATCCTAAGTTAATTAGCACGTGTAGGAATAGGAGAAGGACAATGATTCAGGAGACGATTTTTTAGGGACGATTTTAAGGGATGATTTGCATGGCTTATTATGTAAAGAGGTACATAACCTACTCGTCACATAGATTGAATTAAATGACCAATTTGGACCTATCACGTAGATGGTCCTCCACTTTCGTCCCACAAAAGTGGTCTGCTCTATCGTTATAACAATATTTCATACCAATTACGTAGCGCTTTCCAATCTTATGGTATTACATATATGATTGGCTCTTCTTATTTTTCATAAATAAATGAGCATGTTTTTTTTAACAAAATAATTGTCTCAAAAACCCAAATTTCTTCAATTTTTTTTCTTCTTTTTTCATTTTGCCTAGAAAATAGGTCAGTGGGCCAAGTCGTTAGGCAAAGGCAAACCTATGATCAAAGATTCCAAGCCCAATGGTCAAAATATCAACGCGGTTCATAAACTTAATGTCTGACCCAAGCTCAATGAAGGCCCAATTTTTCGACATGCAAAATAATTGATTACAATGCCAGAGAATACGGCCCAAGATTTAGCATCTATGTTCTAAAATCTGAACTTGGCTCCTAAATAGTAAATTCCAATGGGATGGACTTATTAAACTTTCCATGTCTCTTAGCCCAATGCTGAGAATTGGGCTCAAGAGTAACGTTGAAAATAGAAATTAATTAGAAATTTGATGTGT